CCCTCCCGAAATCTAGGGCTGCTGCCTTGTTGCAGGCCTTTGTCACCTAGCACTGGATGGTGAATTCCACCAGGAGATGATTGCTGTCGCCCAGGTGGTTGAGCACTCTCAGCCCCCTCACCAGATCATCGCTGGTGGCCAGCACCAGGTCCAACAAGGCGTCTCCCCTGGTGGGGCTGTGCACCTCCTGGGTTAGATGGAGGTCCTGCATTTTGGCTAGGAACCTATGTAAGTGGTTAGACCTGGCTGACTGCTCTTCCCAGCAGTTGTCTGGAAAGTTCAGGTCACCCATGATGACCACGTCCTTTGACCTAACTACCTCCGTGAGCATCGGCACTGCAAGAATGCTACAAATCTGACCATAGTTCAATACTTTCAGTGGATACATTGAAATCAATTCAGCATGGTCAATTGTGTCCAAGTGAAATTGCTCCATGTCAGCCTTGTACTGTTGTCATGGATAACAAAAGATTTCAATGAAGATGGGTTAACAGGCTCCAAAACAAGCCGTTATACAAATATAATTATGGCATAACCAATTTCATTTAGTCAAGAATGAACTATTTCAGACGCAACAACTTTGGTTATACCAAAACTTGAAGTTCAGAAAAGCGTAGTCTGCTCAGTTATCACCGAAAATGTATGGGAGTGGCAAATTATGTGCTCAACCACAACAACAAAGATTGGAGGTTAGTTCTGAGGGAATACTAGCACATTGGTTAACCGCCCACGGACTTCGAGCAATTTAATCTTGTGGAAGGGTCCTGGCATTTTCTGGATATCATTGCTCTCTTGAAAGCAATGTTGGGAAGTGGGAAATATACAACATTAAACGTTACGCACAGCTTCCAAGCAAAGATGTTATAGATGTGATGGATTGGTGCCAAAAAGTTGCTGACCTGAAGAAAATGCCAGTGCTTTAGTTGGCTGCAGATCAAGCTGTGTATAGATATACTGAAGAGATCCTTTGTGAAGATTAGAAGAAATGGCTTCATGTGGAAGGGGTACTGGCAGATTTCACACAGACAGAGGAATGCACCTCCACAAAACAGTAACAGAAACTTTACTTAGTATGTTAATCCATAATTACCCCCAGAAGATGCCTCAAGCAATTAACAGCTTGAAACAGTTGGTACATATAAGTACAGAAAATGGACATGGGTTGTGGGTTGGGAGTGAGATGGTATTGGCAGGGCCAGGGAGCTGTAGGTTGAGTGAAAAGCGCTGGTTGGAGCAGGGGTCTGCAGGTTGGGAGTGAGAGGCACCAGTATGGCTAGGGGGGTTGTGGCTTGGGACTGAGGGGCACTGGCATATTAGGACTGCTCAGGATAACAAAGCAAAGGCGGGAGGGGGGGACAGCAATAGCTGTACCCACATCCTTGTAAACAAAGGGGGGAGGGCTCTGATAATCCATGATTAATAAACAACCAAAAACAAACAAAAAACCAAAATATGCATCACAGGTTCCAACACATCCAGCACTGATGTCGTCCAAAATGTGTTAGATCATGGATTCATCAGTTCAACTGTCTTTAGGAATTGGTACATTTAATGTCTGAAGAAATGCTCTGTTGTGAATCAGATATGGCCAGATATTTTCTGTTTTATATCACTGATGTTGAAATCCTCTTTTGACATTACCATTGTCTGGGTGGAATGAATTTCGAATAGTACTTATCAACTTGCTGTTGAATGCTTCCAATGCTAGCAGCTTATGGAAATGTCAACTATCTAAGATACCTGGCCTTGCATTAATGGCAAATGACAACATTGAGAGAAGATGAAAAGGTGCACATGGCTACAATGTTTTCGTTGATTGGAAAGGCTTACAGCAAGCTGCTTCCAGACCAGGTCCTTGAAATGACCATGAAGAAAGAATCTAAGAACAGAAAGTGGGGGCTGGATTGGCTTTACCAAGAATCTATCCATAGTTGCAATCAACATACTCAGTAGATCAGTTATTACGTGGTTAAGGGAACAAATAAAACAGGTGGCTCGTTTTAAGCCACCCCTCTATTGCCATCCAGAACTGGGTCAGTCAACAATGGAGATGGACTGCAACACTGTTGATGCAGTGAAGACAGCTCTGGAAGAATGGGACGCAAACCCATGGGATCTGAATCGAGACCTCGACAAACTGGAGGATTGGGCCTAAAGTAATCCCATGAGGTTCAATAAGGAGAAGTGCAAAATCCTGCACCTAGGCTAGAACAATCCCATGAACTACAGGCTGAGGACCAGTTAACTAAGCAGCAGCTCTGCAGAAAAGGACCTGGGGGTTACACTGAGTCAACAGTGGGCCCTTCTTGCAAAGAAGACTAACAGTATACTGGGCTGCATTAGTAGGTGTTGCCAGCAGATCAAGGGATGCAATTCTTCCCATCTGTACAGCACTGGTGTGACCACATCAGAAGTATTGTGTTTAGTTTTGGGCCTCTTACTACAGAAAGGATGTAGATAAATTTAAGAGAGTTCATCACAGGACAATGAAAATGGTTAGGGGGCTGGGACACACGACTTCTGACAAGAGGCTGAGGGAGCTGGGCTAGAGAAGACTGGGGGTAGGGGACGTTCCTGGGAAACCCTGGCACAGTACCTAGCCTGACTCACAAAGGACCTTCCCTCCCAGCACTTTACCTCTGCCTGAACCAGAATTGATCAGAAGAAGAGCTTATCAAAGGAAATGAAGATACAGTGAGAAACGCATCTAAACCCCTCTGGATAAGGGTAACAAGATTACAGCAACTTTCCCACAGTATCATTTATATCAGAGATGGGGAAAAAGGGAGGCAGCTTCATTAGCATCAAGAGTGGAGAACAGAGTTCCAAGGCAAGGACCACATGGAACTCTGGGAGCAGAGAAGCAGGGAAATGCTGCATGATGGGGGATCTCTGCTCCAGATATTAATTAACCCATGCCTATACACATCCTGCTCAGCATTTATGAGACCAATTCTAGTGATAAATCCTTCATCAGGTACCCAAAAATACTGTCTCTGCCTGATTGCACTGTGAGCTCCCTCCAATTAACACTGCCCAGAGCCAGGAATAATCAGTTCCTACTGTCCAGCATAAGCAGATCCATTGTTCTCCCTTGAACTATTGTTATTTCCCTATAAAACCCCCCACCCAAGCTCAAGTCTCTGTCCTGATGCTTGGATCCAAAAAGCTGCACAGTTCCACTGGGAATATACCTTCTCTTTTTCTGCTTGGAATATCTTCACTGATCATGCTGAGGACCCTGTGTGTCAACAAACACCTAGGAGCCTTGGAGTGGTGAGATCCCAACTCTTTCTCTCTCTCTCTCATTTAAGCCTACTTCCTAAACCTCAGACTTGATTTAATCTCTCTCTCCTCTCTCGCATCAGGCATAGCTTTCTAAACATAACTTTTGCTGATCAAACTTGAACAAGCCCACTTTCTAAACCTCAGACTTGGTTTAATCCCTCTCTACTTCTCTTTCCCTCCTTCTCTTACTCCAGACACAGCTTTTTAAACCTGACTTTTGCTGATCAAACTTGAGCTACACTTCCCCAAATACCCAACTGAAACTGTAATATTGTAACTGTCTTGTTTGTTTTTCTGTGTACAGGCAATCCTTGACTTACATGTTGAGTTACAACATTTCGCACTTACAATGTTTATAAATTGACACCCTGTTTCAACTTTATGACATCAGTTTCGACTTTACAACTCTTGATCCAATGCCATGCCATGCCGGTGAACAAGTTCGCTGTGTCACTCATTTCCCTGGAGAACATCTGTTGTTCAAGTTTCCTTGAACACTTTCAAAGGGTGGGTGAAGTTACCCTGGCCTAATAGCAGATCCTTGGAACAACCCTGGTTCCCTCTGGATCAGCCAATCTGGATCTTTTGGAACAGCCCTGGTTTCCTCTGGATCAGGACTAAACTGAGATGAGATGTTTCCTGAGGTGCTCAGCTGTGAGCCTGAGGAGCTTCTGGCATCAACTCACCACTCCACTCGCAGCAAGCAATCTCTCATTCAATCAGCCACACACACACACACACACACACACACACACACACACACACACACACACACACACACACACACACACACACACACACACACACTCTCTCTCCCTCTCTCTC